AATATTCAAAGGTCTCGGTCGTGTGCGCAGAAGCATAAAAATTTATTTATGAAATACATAGCTTGTTTGTAACTGGGTCAATAAACGGTTTATCGAAATGAATTTATATAGAAAGGAAACAAAATATACTTAACATAGGTAGTAAAGTATAGTGAATATATTAACCTTTTTTTTTAATTAAATGGTTGTTGGTATCGGTCGATCGGTATTCAGCTACCGTTCGCTTCGCTATTTCTTTTTATTGCATATAAAGTATAAAAACTGGACATTCAATGACGTTTTTTTAGCAGTGAGTCTATTATGTTTTCAGCATGAAATAAATTCATAGTTACATGACTTTTCTTTTTATCGTTTTGATGGTCGAATGATTGTGTTGAACCGGTGAAACCCTCTCGATAGTTTGTATCCCGAAATAATGTACATACTCGATAGAATGAAATAATTTTATTTTTTTATATACGGCATAGCATTTGTGATACTCCTGGCGTTGCAAGTGTCCATGGGCGACGGTGATCACTTACCATCAGGTGAGCGTCTGCTCGTATGCCCCCTATAAAAAAAAAGTACATATTTATAAGCTTGAACAAAAAATTCTAAGCTACATGCATCATTTACGCAATCTGCAAGTTTTATTAGTTTCTATTTTATATTATAAATGTATAATTTATTCAAACGTTTTCTTGCTTTAGTAACCATAAAATCAACTTGGTTATTGTTAACAGAAGATAATAACAATTAAAATAAAATCGGTCAAATCTTCAAAAAAGTTATGTAAATGAATGAAATTTATTGATTTTTAAATACCTACGATTTTTGCAATATCTTTTTGAGCTTGCAAAGAATAAAGATGATTAATAAAGAAAAAACAGTATTTTTTTTTTGCATAATTCGGTCATGATATCACTTCCGCTCAGTTTCCTCTGGTTTGTTATCAGAAAATCCGGCTATGTCGCATAGACGCGTATGGTAATATCAAGGGCGGATCCAGCTTTGGCGCCAGGGGGGGGTCATATAGCCAGCTTTGGCGCCAGGGGGGGGGGTCACATAGTCGTGGTATATTAAATATTGAAAGTACTTAAATAAAATCCCCCTGGGTTTGGTCCATCTGTACCCAGCCCAGGGGGGGGTCATGACCCCCATGACCCCCCCCCCCCTGGATCCGCCCTTGGGTAATATTAGGTGACATTTTAGTATTTAATAAAAACTTCTTTTCTGCACGCTATTCATTACGAGGGACTTATTACCATGGAGATAATGTAAGGCTTAGTAGAACGCAGGGAATTATCGGACAATAGAAAGGCAGTGCAAGGAATAGGCTTGCCAGATGGCCAGGAAATCCGGGATTGTCCCGGAATTTTGCGTATTGTCCAGTTAAACATTATCCCGGATTCGGATAATGTGCTAGTTTCGTAACAAATAAACTAATAACGAATGACACCGCTGGCGTGCTTGATGTTTTAATTGTGGAGGGTGATGAGGGGTTTGATTTGATGCTTTTTTTAGGGTGTGCGAATGTCCCGGAATTTGTAAGCCAGCATCTGGCAACCCTTGGAAGGAATCGGGACACATTATAGCAATAACGCATTCGATATTATCCACCCGATAATAACGCGCGTGCCTTAAAATTCGTAGTGTGCACTTCGATTAATGATTTGGATGAAATTTTGTATTAAAATAATAATATGACTTTATAAATCTGTTTGTTTCTTAGGTTTCACGCACACCACTCATTTAAACAAATCAAGTTTCACCGGTATAGATGCACTAATTTATTTATATATTGACGTTTCGCGTCGCATCAAATCATAATCCAGATGTCAATAAATAAATAAATCAGTGCTTCTATACCGGTGAAACTTGTTTAATTTCTAAATCTGTCTAAAAAAAAAGTAAGTAAATTAGCTGTATTTCTTGTTAAAACGCTAAAATGTACCCCGGGGAAAATTTACCCAAGCAGGGAATATAAGGTATTATCGTTTTAGTACAAACAAAGATATTAGGGCGAATGTCACACAATAAACGAAGGTAGGTCGTTATGTCATTTGTTTTCGCTACCTTCATAATAAAATATTTTCACATCGCTACGTAATTTACATCACGGTGCGGTGCTGAATAAAGTTGAATATCAAATCTTGTTATTGTGATTGTGAACAAGTTGGTGAGCCGCCAGAATGGGCACGGTGAGTTATGTCGTGTTGTTGTCGTGAAAAACTTACGTAATGTTACGTCCATGTCAAAAGGTTTGAGTTGGCGCCAAAATCGTTATGTTCTATGCTAACAGTACTATGCCAAAGTAGGCAGAAATAATTTTTGGTTCTACATTTGGAATATTGCCCTAAATTCTTATTCTTGTATGCCAAGAGGTTATTAAAAGGGATTCTTAAGGAATAGCGGATTAGTCTGGCGTAGGTAGTTCGTAACCAGATCACTGTAAAATAACTAGGAGCTGACGAAAAAAACGGTATAATTACATAAATTAAATTTTACATACCTACAGTGAGCTTTTGGCATGGTTTTTTTATGTATACATTTTGTAATTTTAACACTGTTTTAGGCGGTTTTTATTGAAAATTATTTGAGATTCAAATTCAACGGGCCCGAAACCTCCGGACTGTAAAAAAAAGTAGTTTGACCAGATGCGTAATTTTACCGTTTTGTTTGTAAGCTCTTCAAATTTTGCTTTTGGTGGTGATAAGATTCTTCCACTAGGTAACGGCTCGGCCACAATCAGTCAGAAGCGCGCTACGAAACAAGATCATATCGACGGGGCTAGCGTAAAGGCGCTTATTAGGGACCATTATTTGACCACCTCCATTTTTTGTGACGACCTCCGTGGTCGAATGGTTTGTACGCCAGGTTTCATGGTTTCGCTGACTAGAGAGGTCCCGGGTTCGAATCCCGGTAGGGGCAGATGTTTGTGTGATGAATACGAGCATTGGTACTCCAGTCATGGATCTTAAATATGTATTTCTATATAAATATATTTATATATGTACAGTACCTATATGTATTCTATCCGTTACCCTAGTATCCCATAACACAAGCCTTAGAGTGCTTACTTTGGGGCTAGCCTAATTGGGGTGAGTATTGAAAATATTTATTTATTTGCCCCCACATAATTAGTGTCATTTAAAAGCCCATTTAAACAGACTTAAAAAACTGATAATAAATCTGTGAATGCATAAAAGTATCTGTATCATCCTCAGCTATCATCATAATAGATCTTTTTAACATGTGACACAAAAAAACGACATGTACTCGCTAACTACTTCATGAACGTATGAATTGTTTGACTTTTTGTGTTAATTTTGATAACCTCAATAATTGTTTTCATTTCATATTATTATACATGTTCATAATAGACATCATAGCTTCACAGACAGCGCAGGTAACAGCAATTGTAATGAAAAAATATAGAATAGAATACTCTTTATTTGCATTAAATAACAAGTTTACCTACTTTAATTATAAGCACAAATAATATAACATGTAATGTTATCCCATTACATTGAATTATATATTTCCTCAAAACTAAATATTTACTTAATACATATTTGGACAAATGTTTTCATTGTCGCTACATACAATATAAAATATACCTGTTATGACACTCTCATTGTAGCACAATGAAAACATTTGACCAAATATGTATGATGTAAATATTTGTTAGAAGTATTTTTTTATGTATATGTTGCTTAAAATTTTATTAAGACTAGCTAAATTGTCCCTGTCGACGAGCACGAAGCTAATTTTTTATATCTTGGGGGGGGGGGGGGGCGGGGGAACTACCTCCGCCTCCATTGGCTACTTTTGGCAACGCCCTTGATAAGAGCTATCAAAAAGTCAATTTTGATCATAAATCTATGTACGAGTATGAACATGCATGAAAATGCACGAATCACGCAATTCATTCATTTTCTAACCAACTGAAAATTAAAACAAAAGTAAGTGAAGAGACAAAGCTATCGGCCGGTTGAAAAAAATAAATTTTAATTTTTTTTTACAACCTTTATGAATTTTAAAAAACGGTTCAAATTAGTTGTAGGCAATTAAGTGAACTAGCTAGGATTTATGGTTGGACCATTAGTTACGGGACACCCTGTATATAGTTCCTCTATGTATTGGATGTTTTTTCTCTCTCCAGGGTTGTGAATTTCATGCGATTATCGATCGATCAGTCCTTTCTCTTTAGACCTTATTTATTAGTGTTTATGAACCCCATTAAATGTGGTTATTTATAATTCTGTTGTGTATTTCAGTTATAAAAAAACCCAAAAAACAGCTTTCTGATATTCCGCTGAAAAATATCTCTGGGTAATATGGCGGGTCTATCTGTGCGTGACGTCACACGGTTGCCATTTAAACGTCAAACGGTACAACTAATGTCACCTTGACTGGAAATTTACTTATGATGGACGTCATTTCGCTGCGCCAATCCCAAGCGTTTTCGGTCACGTGGCAATAGTATTAAAAAAACTATTTTCTTTTTCGTGGTTTTATTAAGATTACAAATATTTTTTCTGTAAAAATAGTGAAAACCGCTGCCAATATTCATTCTAAATACAGATGCCCATAATAGGGTGATGACTATTTTTTTTCTTCGTTTATCAAGTAGATTATCAAAAAGTATTGGACATGTATTTTTTATTTTTTCACTTAATATAAACATTGCAGCGATATTCTAATTTGAAAAGTCGCATGATGTCACTTTTTGGTATACTTTTAAGTGAAAATTCACTAAAGAGTGACGTCACGAGCCCCTACTCCCAAACTTGGACGCGCTATAACTTTGAAATTTTTTGGTTGATTGCTCTAAGAAAAAATACGTGTCCATTATTTTTTGATCATCTAACTGACGGACTAAATAGAATTTCGTTTGCTGTACTCCGTCATCACCCCCTATTGGCATTTTATTTATAATACTGTCAAATGGGTATTTGAAAGGAAATAGGGTTATTTCCTTTCATTTTAAGAAGCTCACACCATCTCGTTGGTTCCAGGAGACGTACACAGACGTTCCGGTGGCTTCTTCGGGCGATGGAGAGGAGCATTGCCACTGGAAGCCTCAGGCGGAGCCGCCCAGCGCAGTCCCGCAGCTACTCACAGCCCTCGTTCTATGTGGATTTTTCATGGTTAGATACTTTTATCTTGATAAGTGAAGAGAGAGCTACACACGCAGGGCCATAGCTAGGAGGGGAGGCAATTCCCTTCCTTAAAATACCATTGCCATTAATTTTTACAGTGAATACACAACTATATAAATAAATATTCTGTGGATATTTCAAGAGTCTCCCTGTTGGCGTTATTAATTCAGAGCAAAAACGGCAAAATATCTTTTTTTTTTGTATGAAAGCCCTTCTTATATATTTAATTTAATCTGTTTTAACACGCTTTTATTAGTTTCACCTGTATGTTTGTTTGTTTGTATGTAACTGACTCGTAATGAAATCTAAGAATCTGAATTACACGCACTTCTAATTCTTGTATCATCATGAAACTTGGCAGTTATATGTAGATTATAATAGAATATATGACAATACAATATTATGGTACCATCGAGCTGGTCTGATGATGGGACTGGAAGGTGGCTGATGGAACCTTGGACTACCTACTATTAACATATCGAGTTTGGGCTCATTAGAGTCGTCTTAATTCTAGCTGACCCAGCGAACTTCGATCCGCCATAAAAATAGGGGCTGGTGGTAGAAGGGTGAAAATTTAGGGTTGTATGTCTTTTTTAATACCACATTATAAAAAAAAATCCAAAAAATAAATAAAAAATGTTAGGGGTGGACAACCCTTATCACTTAGGGGTGTGAAAAATAGATAGTAGCCGTTTCTCAGACCTACTAAATATGCATATACAATGTCATAAAAATCGGTCAAGCCGTTTCGGAGGAGTATGGTAACTAACATTGTGACACGAGAATTTTATATAAGATAGATTACATTTAGTATCATTATTGCCTAGGTTTGCGAGCTGATCGGCGGCTACCTAGCGGGCAGTTTATCAGTGATGTCGGACGCGGCGCACATGCTCAGCGACTGCGGGGGCTTCGCCCTGGCACTGCTGGCCTTCCACTGCGCTAAACGGCAGCCTGACGCTCGCATGTCTTACGGGTACAAACGGGCGGGTAAGTTTCATCATCATCATCAGAGAGAGAGACATTTTATTGACCATATACATTTCAAATGAACATACAAAAAAATAACATGGGGGGGAATAAGCTGGCGAATGCGTTTTAAGCGTTACGAAAAGTGTGTTCGGGCGAGGCGAACGGGAGTTGAGTGGGGGATATAAGTAAGAGAAAGCAGTGCGCCCGTACATTTTCTTTTTCTCTTTCTCTTATAGTTATAAAATTAAATATATAGACAGAAATGAAACTATTGTTGCAAATATCTTTGAATGAACTATATAGATAGACACAAAAATGTAACGCAAGTGAATATGTTACCAGGAAAACTGTTATTGGCATTAGTTTAAGAAAATATTATATATGTAACTAGAAATAAGACAATGCTATTGTTTTTTCGAAATAAATATATATATGTACATAGATGCATTTTTTTCTTTAACTATGTTTCAAACAACGCGGCCAAAAATGAGTGACCACAGACAAAACACCACAATTCTCTACGCCAAAAGCTTCTCGTTTGCGTACCTAAACTTAAACACTTAGTTTAGTAACCTAGACTTAAAATAAAAACCTATAAAAATAAACATAAAATAAATTTAGTCATTTAATGTCGTCATAAGCACACTCGTTTTATTATTTATAATAATGTTGTTTGTTTCTCCCTTCACAGAGGTTCTAGGTGCCATGGTATCAGTCCTCCTCATATGGATCCTAACCGGAGTATTCGTATACGTGGCGGCGGTCCGACTGCACTCTGGAGAGTATAGCATCGAGCCAGACATGATGATGGTGGTGTCAGGATGCGGAGTAGTCTTCAACGTTGTGCTGGCACTCGTTCTTCACGGATGTGCCTCGGATATAGGTAAGTGGTCAATATTTTGACGACCTCCGTGGCCGAGTGGTTTGTACGCCGGGTTTCATGGTGTCGCCGACTCGAGAGGTCCCAGGTTCGAATCCCGGTGGAGGCAGATGTTTGTGTGATGAATACGAGCATTTGTACTCCAGTCATGGATGTTTAATATGTATTTCTATATAAATATACTTGTATATGTACAGTATATGTTTTCTATCTGTTACCCTAGTATCCTATAGCACAAGCCTTAAAGTGCTTACTTTGGTGCTATGCTGATTGGTGTGAGTGTTGGAAATCTTTATTTATTAAATATTTTCCATGTCAGTCACGCTAGTACAACTGTCGCTGCTGTGAAAGAAGTTACGCTAGCGTGATTGCGGAAGGAGGAGACTTACAGTAGCGGAAGAAGTGAAAACGACACTTCTTCTTTTTAATTTTATTCATACTAGGGTCTATTAGGAAATTACAAAAATCTGACAAAACTTGGTTTTTAAAACTTTGTATTTAAAACGACCTATAGATAGGCCGGATAGAGGTCATCAATGTCTTTGCCCTGCCTCGAGCAAGAGACGACAATTTTGCTTCAGGACTATCTCGCATTCCCACGAATTCCATTAAAATTTAGACTTTCAAAAGAAAGAAAAAACCTCAAATAATAATCAAATGCAAGCCATTAAAAGTTCAATCAAATACGAGGCGGTGGTCCGTCTCCACTTGGGAGAGTACAGCATCGGACATGATGATGGTAATGTCAGGGTGCGAAGTAGCCTTCCTAACAGTTATGGCAGAGCGGGCATGTCCCCATACTGCGCTAGTTCTCTTGTCGTAAACTAGTGCCCGCACTCGCTTCGCTTCAGTGTGGTGTGTGTGTGAGTGGAAAGATATATGGAAAAGATAGGGAGTTGTGTGCCCTTCAGTTTTTTTCTCTCTAGCTTATATGGTACATATACAATGGTACGGGGAGCCGGTATCATAAAAACTGTTTTTTTTTAAATAATAAAAAGTAAAAATAACTTTGAAACTAGAGTGTGTTTGATAACTACGTACAACACCTATTACAGGGGTGCTCAAACTTGAACTGCTGGCGATCTACCTCAAACTTTTTAGACTACTTATGATCGACTGAGAGGCTGCAAGTATGTGTGATGCAGGGTTGTCGTACATACACGATACACCCCACCTACCTAGGTAGGATGTACCGTAGCATATATAGATATTAGCAGTCGATCGCGATCGACCCTTTGAGCACCCTGACCTATTGTATATATATATATATATATATATTACCTGTTTTAAATCAGGAGCTCGATATCGCAAGTGGTTAGTTTGGCTGCGGTCGTTGAAGTTAAGCAACTTTCGCAGTGGTCGGTCATTGGATGGGTGACCAAAAATTTACTATCTCAAGCTCTTCCGTGCTTCGGAAGGCACGTTAAGCCGTTGGTCCCGGCTTCATCTGCAGTCGTTAGCACCCACCAATCCGCACTGGACCCGCGTGGTGGGTCATGGCCCAATCTCCCTATTCCATCCATAGAGAAGCCCTGTGCCCCAGCAGTGGGGACATTAATAAGATGATGATGATTAAAGTAGGTTATGCTTGCTCTGCAGATATACAAGATTACTGTACGTGACTCGTACATACACACTCACAAACTTTCGCCTTTATAATATTAGTGTTATATACCACTATTGATGAAAACTGTATTAATATCACGTGCATCATCTTTTGATGGAATGTGAGCGGAATCAGGTTCAAAGAAACAAGTTTATATCTAAATTTCAAATAAATAAGTTAGATATAGGGATTGTTCAAAGTGTTCTGAGCAACCCCGAATCAGAAGCCGCATTGTACTTGTGTAGTTTAGTGGAATGCTGCCAGTAAATTACACAAGTACGAAATGGAATATAATAATTTTACAATTCTTAATTAAGTAGTTCAGTACTCGTTAGTTTGTTTCGATGGAGCTGTCATGTCATCGGACAAAAGCACCTAAAAAAAAACAGATACAAAAAAAACCGTTGGATATGTTACCGATACTGATTTGGACGCGGTTTTGAAGGAGTAATATTATTACGTTGCACAGTGTATTATGAAACCCATTTTTTGGACGTCTGCTTTTTATTACAAAATCCTGAAGTTTCAATCATTTAAAACGCTAGAGTAGCACTCCAGAGTATCAAAAACGCTTAGTTTTGGAAAAAAAATATTTGAAAATCTGTTTTTTTCTTCGGATATTTTTTTAGAAAAATTCCTTCTCCCTAAAGCAAACATATTTTAAATATATATCATAAGTCATATGAAAGCACTTTACAAGCTTCATCTTTAAGAGCTATTAGCGACCTCGTAACTGCCATAGAAAAGGAGAAATTATTATTTTTCAGTTTTTCGTTTTTATTTTATTTTTCAGATAATCCACCGTATTTGGAAAAGTTATCCAGATGAAAATGAAGGTCCTAAATCCTTAAACCTACCACTAAAAAATCACATCCAAATTGCGTGGAGTTTAGAAGCTGTGTTCAATTAAATATTTCGATCAGGGTTGTTACTTTTTTGAATTTTCAATATCCGGAATTTTATCTAAGGTGGGTGTGTGGTTTAAGTCCCACGTGCGGTGTGTAATATAACAAGAAACTATATAATGTTGAAAATACATAATATCATTTAGTTTTAATAAATTATGCAATATGTGAAATGAAAATTCTATTAAGTACCTAAATTTATTTCAAACACAACTTATAAAAGGTACTTGGAAAAGAAAAAATGTACAAATTCCATTGAAAATTGATGGGAAACTACAAACCCTACATTGCGCGTGGTCCGACGTCCGTGCGATTAAAAACAAAATACAACAATTCAACATATTTTTGAATTTGTGAATAGTGTCAACCCTAATGAAAAAAAACCCGGTTATTTACAAAACAGGCTGTATCATATAGACTCCACGCAATTTGGACGTGATTTATTTGTGGTAGGTAGAAGGATATGGGACCTTCATTTTTATTTGGATAACTTTTCCAAATACGGTGTATTATCAGAATAATAAAATAAAAACGAAAAACTGAAAAAAAGTTATTTCACCTGTTCTAAGGCAGCCACAAGGGCGCTAATAGCTCTTAAAGATGAAGCTTGTAAAATGCTTTCTAATAACATTTGTCATATATTCAAAATATATTTGCATTAAGAGAAGGAATTTTTCAAAAAAAATAACCAGGAAATAAAACCAAAATTTCAAAGATTTTTTTTTTCAAAACTAAGCGTTTTTGCCACTCTGGAGTGCTACTCTAGCATTTTAAATGATTGAAACTTCAGGATTTTTTAATAAAAAGCAGACGTCCGAAAAATGGGTTTCATAATACACTGTGCGTTGGTACAGCCCACCACCACAGTCACGGCGGCGCGGCGTGTGCCCACGCCCACTCCCACGCGCACGCTGCGCCGGAGTCGCGCCCCGCGCTGCGCTGGTTCCGGCGCGCGCAACACAAGCAACCCAGCGGGAATGGACCGCTCGTCAACGGGGATTACACTATGAAGGACTTGTCTAATACAGAAGCTAATGTTGTGGGACCGCAGACTAGGTAACATTATACTTTACTAGCTGTACCCATTTTTTTTTGTGACGCAGGCAAAAACTCTGTTTACAGACGACGGCGCCTTTAAGAGGCACACCGCCGAACGGACCTCACACCTGGCTCCCGCAAACCTTACGAGCCCCTACAGTGGCTGCCCACTGAGGACCCCGTAACTCTTACGGGCGCTTTACGGCATAATATCCGCTAAAAACCCCTGCGAATACCCTCTAAGCTGGTTATTGCGAAACCGCGGGATCCCCGTTTAGGGATTCTTCCGCGTCTCTGCAGCAGCCTCCCGGCCTAGCCGGGGCTCCACGGCAGGGGTCTCCCGAGGTATTGCGGGGTCCCCGCAGACGTGCGCAGGATGGCCCGCGCGTGGGGGCTGAGTACACGGCCTAGTGCCCACCGTACCGCCCCCCGTCCGCTGCGGAGGGCTACTTAGGCCTGCCCGTGTAGCTCCCTCCGCCGCCCCCCTCTTTGCAGGACAGAACTACAAGATGGGGGCTGCCGTCACGGGATCCCTCGGTGGCCGCCACGGCACAATGCGCCGTACCGGCCAGCTAGGGATCCCCGCGGGCAGGGTCATGGGACGAGCGTAGCCAGGGCACGCACTCGTCCTCTCCTACCCGCTCTTCTTCGGCGGGAGGCAGCGGCCGGGGGATCATCCTCCCGCTCCCTCTCGGCTGCCTCCTTCTGCGAGATAACGTTCACGCAGAAGGAGGCAGCCGCCTCCCATGCCGACTCGCTACGGAGCATGGCCTCTACCATGCTCCGCAGCGAGAGGTTTCCGCCTCCCAGCGCCGCAATCAGGTCGCGGCGCTGCTGTCGCCAGGCCGAGCACTCCAGCAAGGTGTGCTCGGCCGTATTACTAGCTGTACCCTGCGGTATTAGCCGCGGTTTATTAGGAATATTTTCCCGTAGTGAAACGTAGCCTATGTGTTTATCCAGGTGGTCGGCTAACTCCGTACCAAATTTTATAAAAATCGCCCTAGCCGTTTAGACGTGAGGAAGCAAAAAACATACACACTCATAAACTTTCGCCTTTAAAATATTAGTGTGATTCTACTTTTTAATTAAGAGCCCTTTCACATTTTTTGCAAAAAATCGAAATTTTTGAACGCCTCTCTTACCCCCTTAGAAAAGATTTTGACTATTTCCAATTCAAGTATACAGTAGATTTATTCTTTCTATTGTAAGTTAATGTAGAATATTTGCAAATACTATTTTCCTTTTTTTGTATTGGATCGTTCTACCGCAGCTAGTTTACGGAAATAAAGATAATATGCACAACTTCAAACGCCTCAATCTCAAAAAACATTAAAAGTACTGAGTTGACATCCGACACTTTGGTATATACTAGCGGTGTGACGTAATAACATGGCGTAAGTAGACGTCTACTATTTCATTGTATTTTAAAACAGATTAAAAAAACTAAAAACTTTGAATTGTATTTGAAAATGCACTTTGTTATTTTATGAACTGGAACTAACCTTTTCTGACCTTTTTGCCTACTATCGCAATAATACATTTATAGATTTTTTCTCAAGCTCTGTATGCTTTATAGTCTTAGATTAAAACGAAAAGGGAAGATAAGGTACGCTCATACTAGCATCAAATAAAATATGATCCGATTTAACTACCTAAGCGACTCTCACAGACGCACACGTCTGTGTATAAACATTCAATCGAACAAACGAGACAGAGCTATACGCTTTAACGCAGCGCGAGCGAAACAGCGAGTCTGCTTCCGAGTCCATACGGCTGAGCTGTATTGTTGTCCTTTACTTAATAACAAAATGGCGATTAAGTAAATAACATTCACGACAAACCGTGATTTTTGAGAAAAAAATGTTTTTACAGTTTTACGAATGAAAAGTGTGTTGTGTTATTTGTTTTCTTTATAAAAGTATCGAAGCCATTGTTTTATCTTTAGAACACAAAATATACGCAATTTTAATATATTGGGTGCACATGCAGCGTGATAGAATGTCTTATTGTGACTAAAGCGAATCGTGGTCATGCACCACAATTTAAGCGGATCACTTTTGAGCCGCGAGCGCTGTATCTTCCCTTTATATTTTAATCTTAAGTTTATAGTGAATGAAAAATTCTACCATAAGAAATATATATGTACGTTTGTGTATGTAATACATGGTATTTTCTACAGGAATATAAATCTGCGCGCTGCCCTTATACACGTAATCGGCGACCTCATACAGAGCTGTGGAGTACTCCTGGCGTCCATCATTATCAAAATATACGTGAGTCGTTCGTCAGTAATCGAACTATTATTAAACGTAATCAAAACCTTTTATTCAGATTAGGCTGACAAGCACTCATGCTTGTCTAGAAGCTAGGCCATCGGTCGTAAATCTACGGCGGGAGACCTTGTACTGTAAAGAAACGGCAAGAAAGGCGGCGATGCCTATATAACGTAATCATGCCTATACTATCACAAAATGAATTGCGGCTATATGTGTGTGTCGGCGGGTACGCCCGCCATTCTAATACAATTCATTTCAGTCTTAATAGAGCCATTGAACCTTAAATGTGTTTTCTTATTTCCAAAACCTTCTGAATACTGAGACTAGTAATGAAATAACATAAACCGTACTGTCTGGGATACACCCCAAATAAGGTGAATGTAGAAGTTCTTCTATTCTTATGGTATGGTTTCATTCAGCAAAAGGTTGCCTGGTAGAGATCAGGGATGTAACAGAGGTAAATTTATCGGAACCGAATTCGGAGTCGGAGTTTTTAAATTTCATTTATCGGAGTCGGAACCGGAGTCGGGGTCAGAGGCAGAGTCAGAAGTGGTCAAAAGAGAGATATTTTGGCACTTAAGAAAAGAAAAACATCATTTAGTCAACCTTTTTTCATTTTAATTTTTTTTTTTTTCATTTAAATTTACTTATTATTAACACTGACTCCCAACGCGACGGGTATGAACCAGTTCGTAACGGTCGACGCAGGCCGCCTTCGCTATTTGCTTATGCTTCGACCTCCGAATAAAAGTTTCGTAACCGAAATCGGAACCGAAGGTGTAATATTAATCGGAAGTTCCGACTTAACGGAATCGGAGTCGAAGCTCCGTAACATCCCTGGTAGAGATTGCTACCTACCTAGCAATGAGGCCGCCTTTTGTGACTGCATTCCTGTGTTTTATGTTTTTTGTATTTTGTGTAATAGTCCAATAGAGAATATTCATTCATTCAATGTTTCTGCAGCCGGCAGCCAAGTTCGTGGACCCGGTGTGTACGTTCGTATTCAGCGTGCTGGTTTTGATGACGTCAGCGCGCGTCGTGAGAGATGCTCTACGGATGCTGATGCAAGCGGTGCCGACTAACTTCAGGTATGTTTCGATACATAGACGATGAGGAGGTGACCAAACCCCTTGAGCCTCTTCAATTACGCCGTGACGTGGCGTCACTAAGCGCGTTCTATCGTCTGTACCACGGCGAGTGTTCTGAGGAGTTATTCTCTCTTATCCCACCTTCCCCTTTCCTTCAGAGGACCACGCGCGCTGGCCTACGTTGTCACCGTCTGACTGTGGCCACAATTCCAACGCGTACAAAGAAATTTGGTGACTCATTTCTTTGTCGCACTATCCGTAAATGGAATGCTCTGCCCGCTCACGTGTTCCCTCCCTCTTACAACCTGGGATCCTTTAAAAGAGGCGTGAAGAAGCAACATGCAGCCTGCCGGCGAGGATGGCTGGTGTGGCAGGTAGAACTGCTGTATCAGCTATCTTCGCGTCTGGACTTCACCTTCACTTAACATCAGGTGGGGTGGAGTAATTTGTCGGACCTATCTATAAAAAAAAACAGTTGATGGTATGTATCATCATGGCCCGTGGTTGGTTGGGAACCTATGTCGCCGGCTCGTCCCCACTATACTTCCATTGAATAGATAATAGCCAATCAAACGACACGACATCAAACAAAAGAACCAATCAGCGCTGGCTGTGAGCGCTGATTGGTTCGATTGCTTGATGCAACGATGCAACCAGAATCAAGTTTTTGTCGAGTTATCAGCATTCATCATCGTCATCATCATCAGCCTATTAATGTCCCCAATGCTGGGGCACAGGCCTTCCCTATGGATGGAATAGGGAGATTGGGCCATGACCCACCACACGGGCCCAGTGCGGATTGGTGGTGCAGCCGGGACCAACCGGCTGCATCTGCAGTCGTTAGCACCTTAACGTGCCTTCCGAAGCACGGGGGAGCTCGAGATACTATCTAGATAGATAGTAGAGAATTTTTGGTCACCCATCCAATGACCGGCCACTGCGAAAGTTGCTTAATTTCAACGATCGCAGCCGAACGCGCTAACCACTTGCGCCATCGAGCTCCTCTATGAGCATTTGCTCATACATAACCGTGGCGCGCCTGCCCCGCCCACAAGGCCTAGAAGGGCCTCTCTCTGTGTTCTGTGGTATGTATTGTTTGCTAGCCGGCCGGTTTATAGTGGATTATACCGATTGTTTGTTGGTATCCGCGTTGGGCGAATACTCGTGGTACGAAAACGTGGTACGTCTCAAAATGTCTACAGATCAAATAGAACTTGTTCGGCTACGCAAAGTATTGTCATACTAAGACGGCTGTATTGATGTATTTTTCTATCAAAGAGCATACCTTAGGCAGTAAAATTTGCTCATCTGTGTGTAAAATGTGGGAAAAGTAGTTTTGTGTGTATTGGTAGCGACATAATTTTATGTAAATTTTATGTTTAATTTTATGTTATTTTTTATGTATTTTTCGCCAAAAAAGTGCAGGCTGCTTCTCGAGACATGGCGCACTTAATGATCTCATACGCCGATCCCTTGCCACCGTCAACGTGCCAAGTCTACTTGAGCCGACTGGTATTGCAAGAGACGATGGCAAGAGACCGGACGGTATGAGTTTGATTTCATGGAAGATGGGCCGGGTACTGGTAAGGGATGCAACCTGTTCAGACACGCTGGCCCCTTCCCATCTACATGGAACCAACAACAGAGCTGGTGCGGCTTGGGAAGCGGCTGAAAAAGCAAAAGCATGCAAATACAGGGGTCTAGGCTCCGAATATGATTTTGTTCCATTCGGTGCCGAGACCCTTGGTCCTTGGGGTCCTAACGCTATAAGGTTTTTAAGGAAATATCAATAAAGTTAATCGACATCACTGGAGATCGAAGAGCCGGCCGCTACCTCGGACAAAGAATTAGTTTAGCTATTCAAAGGGAATATATATGCCAGTATCTTCGGAACCTTGCCTAAAAGGACTCCTTTTAATAATATATTTTAGTTATTATATTTTTTAAGGTTTTAAGTTTTAGGTTCATTGTTCCTGTTTATATTATTATTGTAAATATTAACAAATATTAATTAAATATTTAATATTTATATTTTTATGTAAATGTTGCTACTTTTGTTAAATCCTAATGGGTTTCTTGCGCCCGTTCTTCTGATGAGCTAAAAATGTCCTGATTGTAAGAAAAAAATTTGGACGATCCAGAAGAGCATTCAATAAGTCTATTTTAACAAAGTGTAGGTGGTTTCATGTGGATGAGCTCGATGGCGCAGGTGGTTAGCGCGTTCGGCTGCGATCGTTGAAGTTAAGCAAAATTCGCAGTGGACCGTCATGGGATGGGTGACCAAAAATTTACTATCTCGAGCTCCTCCGTGCTTCGGAAGGCACGTTAAGCCGTTGGTCTCGGCTGCATCTGCAGTCGTTAGCACCCACTAATCCGCACTGGGCCCGCGTAGTGGGTCATGGCCCAATCTCCCTATTCCATCCATAGGGAAGGCCTAGGGGCATTAATAGGCTGATGATGATGAGTTTCTTGCGCCTGTTTTTCTGATCAGCTAAAAAATCCAATAAGTCAAGGTGGTTTCATTTCGTTGCCTTGGTGTATTAATAGGCTGATGAAGGTATTGTCTTCATTGTTCGCATAGGTATCGCGAAGCAGTGCGCTCTTTCAGTGCCATCGGCGGAGTGAGACACGTGCACTCCCTCCACGCGTGGTCTCTGTCCACCCATCACACTGTCCTAACGGCACACGTCGCCATCGGTGAGTATACAACATGAAACAAACTTATTGTTACGTGTCGGGATGGAGTTCGAAATTATATGCCAGTTGACGCTTGACAGTTCTTTATTCACCACTCAGTTCACACAATAGGGTATTTGACAAGTTTTAGAAAACGATCTCACGTTATTGACTAATGGTTATGGAGTCCGTAAAAAGTGGATATTCATCATTCTGTTGTGTATTTAAAAAATAATCAAATCAAAACCTGCAAAGACAATATGGCGTCTTACTAGTGTGTGACGTCACACGACTGTTATTAAAACGTCAAACGATACAATGTACTGTCACTTTTACCGGGAGTTTACTTGCGTGTGACGTCATTTTAGGCTCCGCCAATCCCAAGCGTTTTGAGTCACGTGACAATAGATAAGAAAACTATTATCTTTTTCGTGTGTTTTTAGTAAAATTATGAATATTTTTTTTGTAAAAATAGTAAAATCCCCTGCCAATATTCATTTTGAACACAGATGCTAACAATTGGCACTTTATATTTAATACTGTCAAATACCCTATTAACACACAATGTTAACTACAAAACACTCACTAAACACTATTTCACTATACAAGTCTCTAAACAATCGCACTTGAACACTTTTTTTGCACTTTGATCGCCTTTGGATTCGCTCCGAAATCGCTGAAACTCAACTGTCTCTGCGCGGTGCCAATCGCGCTTATATACGCCGATCGACGCATTCCCGAAATTACCTGTTATTGAGAATTAGCTAGCACCCGCGAGTACGAAGTACCTACTTATACCTACGCAGGTAACGCGCATAACTTGTAAACAAGTGCAGGTGTCGTTGCACTTTCTCCCTTACGCCGCACTGCACAAGGCTCACTTTAGAATGAGCCGCATTACTCGACCTCTATCGCGACCCGCGGTGCTCTGGCACATTGGATCTCTAGCACTTTCGCGGTTCCGTTTCGAGAGCGTTTGTGACAATATTGAACACTTAAGAAAATTTTACTAGAAATAATTCCACACGGACCAGACAGCAGCTGAGACTCAAACCCGCACCCTTCGCTATATCCGGGCGAATGTACTGTCCATTAGATTAAACATCTAGCAATTACATGCTTAAAAAATAACAAAATTACTATTTCTTTTTTCAAATGTTTAATATTTGTTTCATTCGTTTGACATTGTGGGTTGCCTACAATGCGAAGAGATGGCCTTGCAGCTTAAGAAAGGCAAGAGAAAATTCTTCATGGCCGTCAGGGCCGCGGAAGCATAATGGTCAGGGCATTCACCCGGATAGCGAAGGGTGCGGTTTCGAGTCCCGTCTGTTACCTGGTCCGCGTAGCAGTTTTTGTAGTAAAAATTTCTTTAGATTTAAACATCTAGCAGTTAGATGCTTAAAAATAACAAATATAATATTTAACACTGTTCACACTAGATAGATATAAGGAGACAGATTTTAGGAACCTTTCAGAAATAAGACATATTTACTCCCACCACCCGTTGTCTCTAGCTACTCATCACACCGTCCTTACGGCACACATCGCTTCGGTGAATAAACAACACGAAACAAACATATTGTACACTGTTCACACTAGATAGATAGAAGGAGACAGGTTATAGGGACCTTTTAGTAATAAGACATATTTACTCCATCCAATCGTGGTCTCTAGCTACTCATCACACTGTCCTCACGGCACACGTATCATCGGTACATATACACCACCAACCAAACATATTGTACACTGTTCACACTAGATAAGAAGACAGGTGGGGGAGAGTCATTTGCCTACCTTGCTGGAAAAAAAAATGTTATAGGGACCTTTTAGGAATAACACATATTTACTCCCTCCACGCGTTGTCTCTAGCTACTCATCACACTGTCCTCACAGCACACGCCAATACATTGTCAAGTCAAGACAATACAAGTTTCAAAGGTATAGATGCACTAATTGATTTATTTATTGATCAAGCATCCTTTACAGGTCATCATGCGTTGTCTAAATATTTAAATGCCAATAAATAAATAATAAATGAGTGCATCCACACCGTTGAAACTTGTTTTATTTAAAGAGTGGTGTCCGTGAAAACCTTTGAAAACAAATATCCTAATATTTGTTCATATTTATCCAGACGAGCTGACAGACCCGGACTTGGTCCTTCGAGCATGCCAGCAAGTGGGCCGGGAGCTGGGCGCTCAATCAGTCACCGTGCAGGTGGAGAGGTTCCAGGCCAGGATGCTGTCCTGCAGCAACTGCCGGCAGGCCGAGCACACGCCTTGACCCCTCAGCACGCTCTCTCACTAGGGAGCCGCAGGTCAGTGGACTCTAAATGACTGTTATAAAAGAATTTTTTGCTGTGTAACATCTTTCCTCTCGCTTTCCTGCAGTTTGTGGAGTGATTTCGTGAAATGGAACGGAAGTATGTAACAGGAAGTCGCGAAAGCGCGCGCTATTTGATTTGATTTTAGAACATAATGTGCGAAAGGCTTATTCCTTTTGTAGGAGGTTTTATTTCTTTTTTTACTATTATAAGGTGAGGTTTCAAATGTTACACATTATACGCGACTACTAAAAGATTTTGATTGATAAAATTAGTAAAATGGTGATTGATATTTTCATTTCTGTCAAAATAGTTTTGTAATATGAAAAGAAATATATAATAAGACAATTATTGTGATCGCTATCGTATTTTTTTTATAAGTGAAAAATACTTTTATGTAATGAAATCAATATAACTGGGTTTGAATTTAAAGTGTCAAAATTTGCACTAAATTCATACCAATAGATGGTATGAATTTAGTGCAAATTTTGACACTTGTTTGAATTTAACTATAGCGTATTTAAATTATCATAAATGATATTCTGCACGTAGATTTGGGTACTTTTTTTTTATAGATAGGTCCGACAAATGACTCCACCCCACCTGATGTTAAGTGAAGGTGAGGTCCAGACGTGAAGATAGCTGGTACAGCAGTTCTACCTGCCACACCAGCCATCCTCACCCTGCCGGCCTGCATGTTGCTTCTTCACGCCTTTTTTAAAGGATTATATGATTATACGCGAGGATGCATCAACTTAGTCATTGTAATATGTACCTTATTATCAACTGCATAGAACTAAACAGTAAAACGACATTTAAATCAAAAGAAAATGTTACTAGATAAAAATCCACGCGATTTAGGCAGTAGACAGGACGTGGGTTACCTACCTGTGGTGTCCCGTGTGTTGCCTGAATCCCGTGGAATTTTTTTACTTACAGTTTCTTTACATTCAAACATCCAGCTGTTAACTTACAAAAATATAATAAATTAAAAAGACATGTCTATTACAGGTCACCACAACGCGAGCTGTGTGAACAGCGCCGCAAACAACGATAAGTGCCCGTAAAATGTCCAAGAGTAAGTGATATGAAAATTTGTAATACACGTATGACTTGAAGTTAGTTTCATTGTATGAATGTGCCTGAACAAGGCGAAGACGAAATTGTGATACTATTTTTCTTATTTACCCCACCGCGAAGAATTCACAATGAAATAGCCAACCAAAAACTGTTAAATCTTAGAGAATTTACAAAAACATTAATATTTTTTAGTATTGTAAGGACTTGTAGCTTCTTCATTGAACAGGGTTGCCATCTCAATAGATTTCGCAGTTAATTATATTACAACAAAAAATATCTTTGAATACTTCTTTTTCTTCTGTCCTTTGTGACAATAAACACGAGACATGTATTGGTAATTCACTTTTACTTAACGATAATGGAAATTGTTATTCGATGAATAATAATTTAGCAGTTATACCATTATTTTTATCATTTTCGTTTGGTTTGGTTTGGAGAAAATAAATCTGGATTCACAATAAGTTTCCTTAAATAAAATTTAATACATATTTTCCGCGAGAATAATTTATTATAGTTGATGGCAACCCATAAGATAATATATGACGTAACCAAGGAAATATTTAAGTATTTGATACATCACAATAATACCTAACTTATTCTTGACTATGCCAAATAAAGTTGTTAATTTATTTTTTTATTATTAAGTATGTAAAAGAGAAAAAATGCTATATTTAATTTGAGAAAATCGTAAAAATTCTGACCAGTCTAATTTCGGACTGAAGTTTAGAAATTATTGCATGCCGTATGTTTTTGAAATATTTATCTTGTTACATTTAATAATATATTTTTTGTATCTTTGTTGAATGCTTTGCTTTGTAATGCCCGTATTATAGAAAGATTCCCAGTAATGAATCTAGTCTTGAGCATAGTCAGAAAGAGATATCGCTATATATAGCACATAGGGGCATCCCTCTCTAACGCTACTCAAGTAGAGATCAACACTTAGTTGTCATTCTGTAATACAGGCCTAAGACGTGGAAATTTATTGATAACTATGTACTTAAAATGATAAAAAAAAACGTATTTAATACTTTTGACCGGTGATTTTAACTTCAATGAATGACCATATAAAAAAATAATTATATGACCACTACAAAAAATTACTTTGTGTAGATAATATCATAAATTGATTTTAAGTCACATTTAAAAAATCAGTATGAATACAACTATTTTTTTATCACTTAAATTTTAAAAATATATTTTGAAATTTTTTTGGAGAAAATCAAGTGCGAACCGCTGGTCAACCGTATATCTTACTACAGATAAAGTATTATTACACAATAATTATTAATAGCATTCTTTGTATTCTTGATAAATGGTTAATGAAAGGATTCAGATTTCATACAATTTACGACCAAACGTGAAAATGCCAACGAATATATAAGAACTCGTTGGAACTGGACTAAGGCCCGTATTAACTTTCAGTTAGAAAGGGATGTCACTATGTGCTATATATAGCGACATCGCTTTCTAACTATGCTCAAGACTAGATCAATCACTGAAATTCTTCCTTTAATACGGGCCTAAAAGTCATTAATTTATTAGGGTTGGTGCCCTAGCTAAAAGGATTCTTGAAAAAAAAAACAATATTCTGGGAAACAAAACCATTCAAATCTCGTCATTTTCACATTCGGACCGAAATGGATGGTTCTTATATTATTAACATAGTGCCAAATTTAGTTATTATAATGTCATTTGAGAAAATACTAAATTAAATGAAATAATATTACAGAAGTATTTATCGTCGTAGTTCTAAAAATATTGTTCTTTAGGTTTAGGTGTTAGAATAAAAAAAAACACTAAAAAGGACTGGTCCCGTACATTTAGTGTTTTTCTGTAAATTATGAAATTTGATTTAAACATTCGATGGATGGAAAGTTGACCAACATTTTGCAAGATATTTAGAAGTCAATAATAATGTCGAAACATTGATATTTCGAAGAGAAGCGTGTTCAGAGTAGCTCTGATATAATATAATGCCTTTAAATATTATTTGTAGTACCAAAATGTAGTGTCACAATCCCAATGTAATATTGTCTATGTTAAGAAGCTTATATGTATATAATGTTTGAATATTACCGTATTTATGTATAATATAAAGACGGAAGCCATTTCTGCGTAAAACAGGGTTTTTCACTGTTATTTGTGTCAATTGTATGACCGCTGTCACGTTTTTATAAAGAACACGATATTTGGCTTGTTTCATAAGTTATTAAGATAATAAAAATATATTTAAGTATGTATTTAAGGGAGCTAATAACATCTGCTATGGCTTTGTGTTAATTTAAATATTATTCGAGTATGTTATTGTTATAATGAAACCCAACTTCCATTTACCTTAGGCAAATGGGCGACAGTTTAACATAAAGAATATCTCTGCCCTTTTATTTTTTGTCTATAGTCTGTCTTGACGTATTTTTATTGGTCTCATATCGCCTGGTCTGTGTTAGAGATGGCAGATTTCTGCCACGAGTTGAGAAAATTATTTTAATTTTACATATTCTGCGTTTTATCATATTTAGTAATGATTTTAAATTTGCACATCTAGTGGTGTCGATTCTGGCGTGATTCTCTAAACTTAAAACTAAATTTATAATTTTTCTGTCCTTTTCATTCTAAACAGAGAATGACAAGGCTACACTGTTGTCAAATTTAAGTTTAGGTTTAGAGAATCATGCTAGAATCGACAACAGTATATAGATAAGTTTGTAGAGAAACTATTGATTTAAGACATAAATGAAGTCTGGATGTACAGAACTTGAATAACAAATGGAAAATAGGCCGGAAAAAAAATGTGAGGCCGTGAAAAATGAAATTGAGTTCTAACACAGTTAGTCACATTGCTTACACATTGAGTGGATATGCCGTCATCTTACGCAGCTATCATCCGACTTAAATTGGCCGGGTGTAATACAGAAATATTCCATATAATTCACTGTCCATCACTGGATCCTAATGCTCAAAATGTATTCGGCTAATATTTTTATTTTGCGAGACTCAACGATATTAAATATCCTAGATACAACAACACGAACAAAATCGTGGCTGAAACCTGTCCAAAAGGTACATTGTACGATCCACGGAGCTCCGTATGATGATCGCGTGGTCAAAAACCATGAAAGGCATTATTTAAACATTGAAAGACACTTTTCATGCATACTATATAGGGTCTTAATGAAAACGCATGCGTCAAAGACGTCTGACCTAGATACCTATCGAAAAAACGACACATTATTTTCGCATTTTTTTACGAAGCTCTGTGGCACCTTGACTTTGTAACGGTCAGCGCGTGACTGTGAACCAAGAAGTGCTTGGGTGGAGTTCAAGCAGTCCTTGATTGGGACACATTTTGAGAGCACGTGGTGTATCTAGTATTTAATATCGATTTCGACTGTAAATAAATATAATAAACATTAATCTCCTTATAAATAAACGAAGACTAGCTTGGATTAGTTACTCCATGTCTTTACTTTTGTCTTTGTCTATTGAATGACAAATGGCATTTGAGTGACATGAACAAAACACGGCGTAACTAGTCTAATCTTACTCCTTATTTATTAATAAAGGGGTATCAGTGGTAGATAGAGTATAGTTGAATAGCTATTCCAGTATTTAGTCATTCAGTAATTTATTATCTGAAAAAATGAGTAGCAAAGGTGAAACTTACTAGAGACCTATTGACGGTTGTTTAATAAAGAATTGTATTACCTATTTCCGTAAAGATATGTCGTCATACGCTTAAGTCTGTCAATACGGGTCGTTTTTGCTTAAAGACAATCTCGTCGATAGCGAGAAAATGACAATAGGGTGACAACGTTTACTCCGTCATCGTAACGAAGTCTATTTAGTTCCTCAGTAAGATTATCAAAAAATGAAGGACTTATTAATGACAACGGTAAAGCGGGCTCGTGACGTCACTTCTAAGCAAAAAATGTACCAAGACGTGATATCATACGACATTTCGAATCTTTCTATCTTTATGATGTTTTGATTATGTGAATAAAGAAAAACAAAATACATGTCAAATACTTTTATGATAATTTACCTGATAGACCAAGAGAAACAGTTATTTGTCGTCCCTATTATTAATTTAATAACTTTTTTTGTTTTTTTTTAAGTACGATTGTGAGTTTTTGTCCCGTTCAAGCTGCAACATTTGCAAAGTTCGGTTCCGAATAGGTGACCACAATATTTAACCAGTTATATTCTCATATTTTCAGCCTGCGAGCTTGATTATATATGTCAATACCCACTAATCTGCACTAAGTCGAAGTGATAAGATGAGTAGATTGAAGTAAATGTCACATGTAGGTACTTCAAATTGTATGAAATCCGAGCGTGTCAGGTTTTGAGTACTCACAAGAATATTGAGTGGTGAAAAAGCATTGTCACCTATTTCAATTACTTATATCGTTTTTACAGCTTAAAATTACATACAGATATTTTTTTAAATATTACTATTGACGTATCGTAAACGTTGAGGCGAAGATGAAAATTTGCGTAGAAGGATGACCATTGGACTGCCTTTTGGCACGCAAAAAACATACATTTGCTTTATCTATTTCTATCTTTGTCTGTGGTACAACGACAAAAAACACAAATAAAAAAAATATAATAGTCTGGCATGTTTTTCGTGAAGGCATAGGCATTTATTGCAGTTTGAAAAACGTGATATGTGACAACAATAGTCGTAACAGTATATGTTTGCGGAAATAGAAGCTTAATCTGCGTAACTTTGAATTTAATTATTTATGGCTAGTAATGATGTACTTAATAATTTATTTTTATAATTATTGTATTCTTAAATTAAGTAGACATGAATTTAAAACTCAAGTAATTTATGCTCAAACTAGTGAATTTGATGTGATAGATGCGTAGACTTTGTATATATTGTCAGGTACATTCCTTTAGCTGTGAAATGTTCTTTTTTTTGTAGTTTAAGGGACTTGGATGAGGCAACACTGTTTGAATGCAGTGTTGCTACAATGAAATTTATATTGTTGTAATACATGTTTATTAAGAAAAACGACTTTATTGTACTGCATCTCTTTCTAGAATCACTAATATTATTATGTTTATGTAGTATGTACTTGATTATTAACTTTATATAATCCCATATACCTAAAAATGGTAAGTGCCGTCATTTAGCATTAGCAGTTTAAGTACAATATGTTAACCTTGTAAGGGGTGGTGTTATTGGTGTAGAAAGGGAATTTTCTTGGGGGAGAGGGAGAACCATCCCGTTTGTGAATTTTGCAATGATTTTTTTAAATTTGATGGTGGGTAGACAGGTTTGCTCCCCCCCTAGCTATGCCCATGGGTGGTGTGAAAGTTTCATATATACAGGGTGTAACAAAAAGCATAATAATCAAGCGTTTTATACGGTCTTGTTAAAGTGATGTTTAACTTTTGAGACACCCATGTGTTACGTATTGGCAGTGTTACGAAGAGGGGGATAATAAATGGTTATTGTATTTTAAGAAGGATAATTGATTAAAAAGTGTGTATTTAAAAGAAAATACTCATGAAATATGTACGTAAGAAATAAATAATGAAAAGTATTTATAATGTTGTTCAGAAAAGGGGTTTTTATATTTATTTATTCACAAGTGAATTCGGGTTCAAGGTTCAACTAAGCGATTTGACTCACCCTGTGTATAAAATAATAAGTACGTTTCGAATTTTAGAACCAATTGAAATGTATTCTCGGTACATAAGAGTTATAAACATTGTTCGATTATGAGCAATTTCTAAAACCTAACTTCATTGGTGTTTCTTCTATATTTGATGTAGGTATAACTTATTTTCTCGTTCGCCTCTCGACTTCGTCCAAAATATATTTTCAGCATAATTATGGCGATTAAAATTCTATCTCTCTGCCCTGATAACTGACAAGGTGCCTGATTTTACATCATTGAGTAACAAGTCATATTTATAAGTAAATTCTACTGTCAACTTTCGCGTTTCAATCTGGTGGGCGCGTCGAGTCCTTCAACTTTTTTCCGATTTCATAGGAATTCACTTAGGATTCACCCCTAAGAGCGATGAAATAGACTTTGCAAAATTTTAATCATTCTTTTCATTTTCACAGTAATGTTACTCAATTCCGAACCAATCTTAAGAATTCTAGGGGCCGTACCAAGAAAGACGTCATTAATATTGTATGAGATGAAACTATAGGTACATACTTGCTGATATATATGATGAAGAGTTAATAGTCCTCTAATATAGCCCAGTGTAGACCTAAGGTGACCCAATATGGTGATAGGAAACTGAGTTAGAAATACGAAATCGCTAAAAAAATATTCTCAGTAGTTTGTGATACGTGGAAAATTACGTTGTAACTGTGGCCATAATTCCAACGCGTACAAAGAAATTTGGTGACTCATTTCTTTGTCGCACTATCCGTAAATGGAATCCTCTGCCCGCTCACGTGTTCCCACCTTCTTACAACCTGGGATCCTTTAAAAGAGGCGTGTAGAAGCAACATGCAGGCCGGCAGGGTGAGGATGGCTTGTGGCAGGTAGAACTGCTGTACCAGCTATCTTCACGTCTAGACTTCACCGTCGCTTAACATGTGGGGTGGTCATTTCTCGGACACATGTATAAAAAAACCTTTAAAGTCCAGTCCAGTCTTCACTATAGTTATTATTCTTAATACATTAATATATTGTATGGATATAATTCGAGATGTCACAAGTATAATATGACGAATCTACCAAAAACAAATTAATTTAAAAATAATTATTATTGCCAAATTGTAACCAAAAACGTATTTTTATAAATGATTTTATTGTATAAATGTAACGTTTTTCATCTGTTAGTGCACCATGTTTTGTCATACTCGAAAACATAGCTTTAAGTCGAGCTATTAAAGTCTAAAATTAATTGAAAGCGAAGAGTTCCGAGTCTGTTTGGTTGGTGCATTAATGTTGATGAGAAACGAATAAATTGTTATGATTTCTATACATATTTTTTGTTATGTGATGTTTTCCGTCCCTGTTCGTATGCAGTTTTTTTATTTGTTGTAACCATTTGCTAATAATGTGTATTAAAAATTAAGAAATTTATTGAAACTTATTTTGATTTGCTTACCTGTTTCATTCACCTTTTTTGCTGCGATGACTCATACATCCATTCGACACGAGTTTATGAGCAACTCTGAATACACGCCAACGTGTAATACGTTGTATTCGCAAGCTTCCTTTGATCTGTGTTCAAATTCCGACACCAGCCCGGAACGGCACCAAGCTCTTGCAAGCTGACGTAAACCAAAACCAAACACCCCGTTTTTCTGTACACGCCGATGTTTGTGGCGACTTGTCAAGCTTCGGCAAGCGTGTATAAGGAGCAATATGTTCCACTATGCTTATGATAGAATCTCAGGGATAATTTGAAAGGGTATGTAAAAGGTAGGTAAATAAGCGTATTTCCGTGCGCGTATCAATTGCGCGTAATTCGTGCGAATAAGGAAATGAATCGTAAGTGGCGACGCAAGGCATTCTGTCCTTCTCGCAGACTGAGTGATTCAATAATGTGCGAAAAAAAGAATGCCATACGTCATCATTTTCCATCTATTTCTTTATTGGTACAAGTAAAAAAGAATATCATTAGTAGTAGTAGTTATCATTTAATGACGAATAAAGAGATGATTTCGCAACTACTTAAACTTTGTTCACGGAAATGAGTTAGTAGAGCGTGTTCTTGATCAAACAATCGCTTACAAAATACAAAGATGGTTAACAGCGTCATACGATAAAGGCGGGTTGTCATTGGCTGCAGTAATGACGACAATACAATCCAGCCAATAACAGAAAAGCTTAGCTTTGGTCGGTACTAGCTGGGTACTTTCCGTGAAACTTAAAGCATGTGGAAAGTGTAGTGGTGTTGATTTAACAATACACTTTATACAACAAATTTCAAATAAAACAACTTTAAATAACTACTTATCATTATTTATTATTCATTTGATTGAAGGCAAGTTATAATTCAACACGTACATTACACATCTCGTAACATCTTACACTAACGAATGTATTATGGCTAACTTTTGTACAGAACAATATCACAACAGCGAAAATAATATCGTCTTAAAGCTGTCTCCGTAGACTATCACTGCAATTGGACTCTTACATACTGGAGTTAGAGATCAAATTGAATGGTCGACTTTGCCTTCAAATGGCAAAGTTTGCAAATGTTTCGAAATATCAAAGATTTTTAAGAATGGCTTGCAATTAAACTTTCTGCAGGAAAGTAGACTCACTACAATATTGCGATCATCAAAAATCATTTTTTTAAACACACCAATTAGCCTAGCCCCAAAGTAAGCACTATAAGGCTTGTGTTATGGGATACTAGGGTAAAGGATAGAATACATAATATATAGTACATACATCTTTATATATATAATTCTTCTGTGAGTGTGTATGTCACTGAACTTCTCTTAAACGACTGGACCGATTTTGATGAAATTTTTTGTGTGTGTTCAAGGGGATCTGAGAATGGTTTAGATTCACAATTTTGTCCGCTGGACAACCCCTATTTTTTAGGGCGGTACGAAGTTCGCTGGGTCAGCTAGTATATATATATATATATATATATATATAGAAATACATATTAAACATCCATTACTGGAGTACAAATGCTCGTATTCATCACACAAACACCTGCCCCCACCGGGATTTGAACCCGGGACCTCTCGAGTCGGCTACACCATGAAACCCGGCGTACAAACCACTCGGCCACAGAGGTCGTTCAAGAGAACTTTCTAAAACTAAGTTGAATTTTCCGCAATTTGACCTTAAGAGTGCAACCCCTGATTTTAAGTGTGATTGTACTGCACTAACCGCATTTTTTTGACTTTCCTACATAAAACCCATATTTATCTACTTTAATCCTTAACTCCAATATCGTAAGAGTAAAGTAATCTAAATTATTAATCTAATATCGCTTGCATTAATACGCTGTGTACGTAACGACCTAAGATTAAAACAAAAAGGGAAGATACGGTACGCTATTACTAGCGTCTACTAAAATATGCTCCAACTCAACTACGTAAGCAACTCTCACACACGCACACATCTAGAAATAAACTTTCAATCGAGCGAGACAGACAGAACGGAGCCCCTAGCACGAACCATTATCGAATTCGAATAGTTTGCGAGTAATAAATGTCACTGTCAAATTTTGTATGGAAACTTGAACAGCAGCGCAACAAAGTACGTAACGAGAACTAAAATTTAGTACACATTTGACAATGACATTTCGGACTCGCAAACGTTACGAATTCGATATTGGTTCGTGCTAAGGTTAAAGTACGCTGCAACGCAGCGCGAGCAAGTCGGCGAGTCTGCTCTTTCTACAAACGGCTGAGTTATACAGGGTGTTACAAAAATACAAATAAAGCTTGAAGGGCGTTGAAGTACATCATATAAGGAATCTTCTCTAATTTTTTTAAAATATTTGCATGAAGTTTTAACTTTTTATAAAAACAGTTATTTTTAATGATTATTAAAAATATCATCATTTTAAGACACGTCACTTGTTCGAGGATCATTAAAAACACATTCTGTATTGTTGTCCTTTTCTGGATTACAAATGGCAAATATAAGCAAATCACATTCATAAAAACCTAATTATTGAGGACGCGAGCGTCGCATCGTCCTTTTTGATTTAATCTAAGGTAACGACTGTATCTTGGGACCTTACTATGCGACATTGTGAAAACGGTACTACTTAAACAAAGAAATGTGGTTCAAATATTATTTCATGAATTATCTGATGTACCGCTAGTGATCTTAGTATTACACTAGTTCACCTTTTGAATGCTATTTTATACAAGTTGTACCCGTACTTTATACACCAAATTATTTAACGGGAATATTGTAAAATTTAATAACAATGCATCATTTATTAATTAACTCATTAACTTTAAACACAATAAAAAAACACTATTCCACGTGTATTAGATCCATCCATCCATCAGAAATTCAATATTTTATTCTTATGCCTTTATCATGTACATCTTCGCTTGCCATGTCGACATTCACTTGGCTATTATTATTTATTATTTCTGCCGTCCTGAAGCTAAAACGCGGCTAAATGACATTAATGACAACTTTCAGATATAGCCAAAAAAACGGCGCGTAAACTTTAAATTATTTTTAATATTTTGTGACGGATCACATGACCGATTTTTATACTTAAACTATAAAAGAAACGAATACTTGTTAAAGACATCGATAGATAATTGAATTCTGTATAAGATGCAATTTAAGACTGAAAACTCGACCATATAGCCGCACATTAATTTGGTAAATAAGATAAAAATGTCATTTTTCATTCCTTAAAAAGCATGATAAGGACAGACTGTTTTTACATTTACAAATAGCAAATACGAAAAACAAAGTGAATTGCTGGTCTCACATAAATAGGAGTTGGCGACCAAAAAGTTAGATTCTTTGTTCTTCATTAGAATATTAACCGCTACACACTCATAGTAAGATCCCTATTTTTACGATACGTCTTTCGTTAGTGGATCACCGATAATATATAGAGATCCTATCGATAATTCTTATTTATATTCTAAACTTTTGAAAATTGTATGCCTACTTTTAACGAGTTTTAAAGGAACATAGTACTTGTTACCCGTTCGATTCGAGTTGGCCGTCGATGACCGTTACAAAATGTGTCACAGGCCAATCACAGGCACATCAACTGGTACTGATACTGGTCTACTAGAGGTGGCGTTAATGGTTGAAAAAAATTATAAGTTAAAAATTTATAGTTGAATAAAAATAACAGATATTTTTAAATGATTGAAAATATCAGTCAATATTTTTATTCAAATAAAATATCTGAATATTTTTCACAAGTTGATTTGTTGTCAATATTTTTATTAGTTCAGGGTTATGGTTAAAATTATTCATTAATAAGGATAATTTTATCAGTCGGTTACATTTATCTATACGAATTAATATTGCTCTCGCATTAAAATCAACATGAATATTTTTATTCGATATAGTTGGACATATTTGTTGAATATATGTGTTTATTCTTTTATAATTTTATTAAAGGTTGATAATAGGGGTGATGACGGGGTACAGTAAACGAAATTCTATTTAGTCCGTCAGTTAGATGATCAAAAAATAATGGACACATATTTTTTCTTTGGGCAATCAACCAAAAAATGACAAAGTTATAGCGCGTCAAAGTTTGGGAGTAGGGGCTCGTGACATCACTTTTTAGTGAATTTTCACTTAAAAGTATACTCAAACGTGACGTCATGCGACATTTCATATCAATATATCTCTGAAAAAAAAAAAAAAAAAAAAAAAAAGTCAACTGAACTGTCAGATCCTCTGCTCATATTTTGGATTTTAAAATTATTATTATGACCCATAAATGGTAAAAAATACCATATTTTTGCAGCCCAAATTTTTCTTTATGACCCCGCATGTGGGCAACCTGAGTGCTGATGTATTTACCTGGAATGTGATTACATAAATTCTGCTATTTTGTTGACATTTCCCCGAACAAATTGTGTAACTAAGGACGCCTTGGACATCCACGCCTGTTGCTAGGTACCCGCTACTACTCAGCCAATAGGAGGCTTGATTTGCTCCCGCGGCCTAGCAACCTTGACGGACCTAGGTAACGACGCATGCGTCTTGTCACCAAAAGAAGCAGCTGTCATATAGACTTTGACTTTTTATGTTTACATTTTAAGTTTCTTTAGTGTACATTTTAAGTTACTTTTTGTGTTTTTAAGTTTTTATTTATTTTTGAATGTATTTAACTATTGTGAATGCAGTCCGTGACCCAATCTTGTGATGGCACGTCGAACGCGACCCACAACTGTACACAGTGCCACAAGTCTTTTAAATCTTTGAAAGGCCTCAAAATACACACTTCAAAAACACACAGGCAATGTATTAGTCAAAACAATTCACCTTTAGACATCCATCCCATTATTCCGAGTGCGCCTACTTATGATGCCAACGATCCAACTCCTTTCCACACATATCTCAGCCATTTGAAAAATAGTATACCAATAGTTAAAAGAATCCCGCGAGGA